TGAGACCCAGGCCTTCAATGTTCCTCTAATCTACTTAACATAAACAGGATTCTCTATTGTGTCTCTTACTTACTAAACCTTAAAACAAAGAAATGTATATTTAACTAGAGGCCTACTTTGTAATACATATAGGAAACCATAGTAGACATTATAACTTATTCTAAAACAAAAGGGTGACCATAATCAGTATAATCAGTCATAAGGATTGTTCTGGTCTGTCATTCCTTTCTGCTATACAAAAAGGGTGACTGACAGGGATGAAATAAAATCATACATTAATTCTCATAGTACATTATAAAATCCAGCTCCTACAGCGAGGCCTCCTCTGCATGAATGAGCTGATCCGAGGCCCACCATGTGAAGCATTTCACTTCACCACATAGGTAGCCCTGGTGGAGGGTTTCCTGATGCCCAACAGAACCTGCTGGACACCAGGAGCACTGCTGCTCCTCCCCGTTCAGCCACGCAGCAGCCAGGCTGTCAAGTGCAGCGCCGTGAGGTTCAGGTGCAGCAGGCTGCCGTGGTTCTGGGACAGCAGACCTGGTCGAAGAGGCAGCTGCAGTGGGCTGGGTGCTGACAGGCTCAGCAGCATGCTGAACCAGAGTTGCCAAGGCCACGCCACCTCCTCCACCGCCCCCAGGCACAAGAGCTTTTCGACCTCCCGAATGAGGATTTGCTCATGAGAGGGGTCCCTGAAGAGGGACGGGGAAGAGGTTGGGTGGGAGGGACGGGCAGCCATGAACTGTAGGGTAAAGCCCCGGGATACTATATCCAGGACCCAGCTGTCTGAAGTTACCCTTGACCAGGCTGGATGGAAAGATTGAAGGTGATCCAAAAAGGGACGGGAAGGATCCGGGGAACTGACTGGGGCATCGCTCCTGGGAGGAGCCTCAAAACGCAAGCTTCTGACCCCCAGGGTGTCTAGAGGGCCCAGGCTGTGCAGGTGAGCGGGAAGAATAGGGGTGACGCTGACTGAAGCTACTGTCACTTCTTCTTACAGAATGTTGGTGGGGCTGCCAAGGTCTTGGTGGTGCGGGCGGCCAGAAGGGCTTCCGAGCAGGCTGTGGCGTATGTATGCCCAGCGAATGAAGGGTGGCCTTCGTGTCCTTCACCCCATGCAGCCTGGCGTCTCTCTGTTCAGAGAAGAGACAAACCCCCAGGTCTTGGATTGAAGTCTGCATCTCCTGCGAGAGGCCCGCCATTTGGATTGACGAGGCGAGAACAACCGCTAACCCCTTGCGAAGCAAGGGAGAGAGGTGCTCCGACTAACCACCATGGGCGGTAAGAAGAAACTGAGAGGGTGCAGGGACGGCGGCGCCTGATATACCGCGCCATGAGCGTGGCACTCCAGGGGGTACCACGGCCTTCCCTACGGATACCGCTAAGGCAAAAGTCTCTGACTACCGCACAGGTGGGCACGCGCACACCTACAATGGAATTGATATGAGCAAGCACTCAAGAAAGAAATATAAATGTCATGTAACATATATAACATACCTGGGAGAGAAGTTAACACAGCAAGGTGTAAAGGTAGAGGCCATCACCTACACGCCTGCCCCAACAGAAAAGGAAGGCTACAAAGATTCCTTGGAATGGTGAACTATGTAGAGAAATATTTGCCTAATCTAGTTGTGCAAGACAGCAACCTAGGAGAGGAACTGTCCAACGGACATGAGATGCAACTCTTAATAAAGAATTTGAGAAACTGAAGGCATTAATTAAAGAAGCCCCAGTCCTGAGGTACTAGGAGAGTAAGCGTAAAAGTAAGCTGTCCACAGACACCTCCAAGGAGGGTATTGGTGTGGTTATCTTACAACAGTAAGATCAAAACTGAAGACAAGTGGCATAAGCATCACGGGCACTACCAAAAACAGTGGGGCAAAATGCCCAAATAGAGACGGAGGCTTAGGCCTTAGTCCATGGCTGTAAAAAGTTTCATGGCTTTATTTATGGGAGACTGATGTTAGCTAAAACTGACCATAAATCACTTATTGCCATTGCCAAGAGGGACCTGGCAAACACCTCCCCCCACACACTCAGAGAATAGAGACTGTTTTTTCAGCTATAAAGGTAGCATTTGCAAATTGAATGGGAGAGATTTGCTGGTTGCAGACACACTCCCTACAGCATTTGACAGAAGTTCAGTGGAGCTAAGTAGGCATAGACTTGTTTATGTCGGCTGCAGAAAAGCTATGTACTTGTCCTAGACTATTATTCTCACTTCCCTGAGATGGCTTTACTAGAAAATACTACAGCTAAATGGGTGATTAGATTTGACATGCACATTTATGCTAGACATGGTACACCTGATAAAGGGCCACAGTTTAGTGGGCATGAGTTTAAGCAGTGAAGTACAGATTTAGCCATGTAACTATTAGTTCCCATTAACCCCCATCTAATGAGTTGGTGAAAAATGGTGTCACAATAATGAAGTGCTTACTGAAAAACCATGAAGAGTCAGACTTTGATCCAAATTAAGCATTGTTAAATTACAGAATGGCACCAACTCTACAGCTAAAACAAGAATGTCTGCACCGTTAGAAACTGATGTCCGAGTCACTGGGGACTTGCAGATTTATAAAGAGACAAATACGGCAAAACAAAAAAACCCAATATGATTTGGGGTACACGGAGCTGCCACTTCATGAAAATGATGCTGTAAATATCTATGATGGAAACAAGAATCGCAAGCAGCAGTGGTGTCTTGAGATGTAGCCCCCTGGTTGTATGAGGTCATCAGCCCATTCGGACACATCCTACAGAGGAATAAGTGACGCCTTCTTCAACTCCCAGAAGGGAGGGAGATAAGCGGCACAGAGCCTGATATTTGAATCGAGAGGGTCTCAGACAGGCAACAACCACAGCAGGTTGAGACCACGGAGTCCCAGGACTTGGAACAACCTGCCAACTTCTGACCGCAGTAGTGCTGATGTTATAGGGGAGCCGTGTAGGTTCAAGTGACTGTGCCGAGCACCTCAAAGTCTAACTGAGCATTCTTAGCAGTTTAGTTATTAGGTTGGTTAAAAAGTATTTGTGTGTTGTGTTACTCTTGGTTTTTAAGTGTTCTAGTTATTAAGTTTTGGTTTGGAAGGGAAAACTGTACCATTGAGGACTGTGCCTTTAAGGGCTGGGTTCAACAGAGTCTGAGCTGGGCACTGGGAAGCTCTTATGGTTATGCACAGGCCGTTGGAACCGGACACAAAATAGAGCAGAACTCTTGCAGGCACCTTAAGGACTGAGTGATCACAGACCACCACGCAAGTCATCATAAAAGTGCAATTATTACTGATACTTCCATCAGTTTCCATCCCTTCATTTTTCTGTAAGATAACGTCATTTATGATTTGTTCAACAAACAGTAGGAAAAAACCCAGACTGTCAAAATGGCATTTTACCTCCACCTTGTAAATGTTAGATGGATGATCCCTCTTCCCACATTTGAAGGTGACTGTTTTACAGCAGCTATCTGGTACCACTCGGCCACTGGACTCTACAGACAGGATATAGACACTGTGCTGCCAATCAGCGGAGCTATTGCTGCCACAGCATTTGAACTGCAATGGAAAGGAAATGCTGACATTCAGTGGAGGGCATGACATTATCCTCATGAGAAGAAAACAAAGTAACGTTGAGCCACTTATCAAGGAAAACATACATCCCTTTCAGTTTGTAGATACGTCAAGGGGATGGATGTGTTAGCAACTCAGTTTCGTCTCCGGCCATGTCAGCTATCACCCTCTGGGGGCACACACTCAATCATGGGGTCCGATTCTGATCTCACACTGGTTTTACAATAGTTAAACTCCAATGGCTCCAACAGTTACTCCTGATTTATACCAGTGTAAATGAGATCAGAATCAGGCCCAGTGGCCGTAACTGTTGCAAAAGCCAATGCAGTCAAATTTACAGAAGTAATCGCTGATTTGGAGTCGCCTCTGTTTTTGCATCTCGACTTTGAGAACAGTAAGGGTAGCTATCTGAAGACTCAGACTTTCAGATAAGCTTCTTTCAGAGGTTTCCCTGAACTTCTTTGGTCTGGAAATTAGGCAAGCTCAGGTCATCGCATGAGATTTCCAGCAACTAGTAATATTAAATGAAACATGAGCTGGGACAAACAGCTAGGCAGCAGCAGTGTGAGCAACAGAAGGTTTCCTTACGTCTTGCTGCAGGCGATCGATGGAATGGGTGATGTGTGTTTTCCCAGGAACAGCATAATTCTCAGTCAGGGTCTGGGTCAGGTGCTGTTTCAGCTCCTCGCTTAGCTGTACACCAATGAGAAAAATCATAATGAATACATTCTAGAAGGAAATGTGCATTTTTGCTTTAGGTTTTAGGACCCTCCAAGGCATGATTCAGATCTTTCTTATTTCAATGTAAATCAGGAATAAGGTCCCAGTGTCAGTGGAGTTACACTGGTGTAAAACTGGCAAGAAGTTGGAATCAGGCCTGATATATTTATATATTAAAATCCTAAATTGGTGAAATCTTCTTTTAAAATGTGCTTAAAGTGATATACGCCCTAAACAAACAGGACATTCAAAGGCCCAGATGGCCCTACATCCTAAATGTCCATAGATAGAAAACAAAACAAGAAAGGTCAGACACCAAACCTTCTGTTCCCTGAACTATTGTTCTGTATCTTATCTTGTGTTTGCTTGTTTCGTCAGGTTGCATAAGCTCTTCAGAAGAGAGATCACATAATAATCTAGATTTGCAAAATGCAGTGTTAAATTACAGTGCTATGTAAAATGATAATAATAGAATAAACAGGAAATGAAAAATATAATTGATATTAAGACCAGATCATTAACTGCAATCTAAATTATTAAAATAAATTAAAGGCATGGGGGATGAGCAACATTATGAGCTGGAAATAACTTCATAGAGTATTAATCTGATTGATGGAACTCTGGGTTCGTACTACAGGCCTTTGATTACTGTTTACTTAAAGTCAGTGTGAGCTGGTTCCTTATCTATGATTAGGCTACTGGGATTTAAAATGTGAATAAAATAAAGTGTTCCAGAAAAGACAATGAGCCTGATTCTGATCTCAGTAATGCTGGTTTAAAATAAGAGGTAACTCCTTTGATGTCGTGAAGTTGCACTGGTGTGAGATCAGAATCAGGCCAGAGATTTCCAAGAGAGAAAAAATACATAGCGTGCATGGAGGGATTCTGCAGGATGGAACAGCAAAAGAACCCAAAAGAATCTTTCAAAGCAGAAAAAGAACAGCTTCACTGTTGTATAACATGTGCAACACTGGCCAAAATATAATATTCCCTTTGTGGTTTATGTGGGAGTATTTCTGGTGAGCGAATGGTGTTATTTGGAAAGGCATCCACAATTAAAATCAGCAAGTGCAACATTGTATAATTCTACAAAATTAAACCCAATTCCCATTCATACAAATATGCTTTTTTTACTGATCAAATATACCAGCTAGTGGGAGGGAGAACAGCAGATCAGGGCTTGGGAACTGGTCCCACACAATACGGGCCCCAATCTAACGTTGCCTCTGTTCTAAACCAGGGTAAGGCTGTTGGCTTCAGAGATATTTCAGGATAAATGAGATTAGAATCGTTAACTTTCTGAGGGCTTGTCTACACTTATAGCGCTGCAGCACTTAGTGAAGATGCTACCTGTGCCAAACAGGAGAGAGCTTCTCCGGTTGCCATAGCACGGTCTACACTGGGGGTTGGGTCGCTGTGGATTTGCAGAAGTGATGAGACCATGGAAATGCCTCCCATGTTTCACCACTACCAATTCTTGGGGATGTAGGTTTCTCAACTGTCTGCTAGGGGCCATGCAGTTCAGAGAGCTGGAGAAACTACCCCATGGGGAGAGGGACAGAGGAGCTTGAACCCAGCCTTTGATCTAGGTTTGTTTGGTTTCAAATGCAGCTCCCTGGGGCTAGCAATGGAGATGGGGAGCTCAACTGGATTGCTGAAACTGTGCTAAGGGGAATCCCTCTCCAGTTGGTACGGGGCTTCTAGGGGAGGAGAGAGCTTTCCTTCGTGTTGGAAGAGATGAGAGGTTTTCTCTCCAGCAGTAACATTTTGTGTGTGTTGGTGGGGCTCAGACTGTCCTTGTCAGGACACTGGACTAGATGGACCAATGTTCTGAACCGTCTTATTTTCTAATTTATGCTATGAATGTGTAGGAACAAGAAGTTACAAACTCACCCAGCCTCAAGCACACTCCTTTGCACTGTTACAGTCTGCAGCATTCTCAAGGGGTTCCCCCTTTTGTGCTCAGATGAAGGCTCAAACCCAGCAGAAATGCCCAGAGGAGTCAGGCAGCAGCAACATCTGGAGGGCTGCCACACACCCCTTTGTGCTGAGCTCTGCAATGCCTGTCTGCACAGGGTCACATGGAGGGAAGATGGAATGGCCAATCAAGGTGTACAAGTTGGCTTGCCCCAGAACTTGGGGAAAGGAAGAACCAGGGGTTGTATCTGCTGCTCTTCTCCCATATCCTATGGGAGAGGCAGAGCTAAGCTGGATGGGACTGGGATTTGTGTTCCTCGGCCCAGCAACGTTTTCCTGTGGTTTAGACCCTTATTATGTGGCCTTGCTTTGTGCAACAGTATTTGGCCCTATGGATTTAAGAAAATACTTTGGATAACTTTTACAAAACACCCAATATTTTCAATTAATTTCTATTGAGCTCTTATAAGAAGTGACTTTCTTAACCCAACCTTGCCGACAGATAATTATTGTTGTAACATTAAAAATATAAATAAAACAAACCTTCCAACTTACCCTTTGATAGTAAACATAGGCAAGAACTCCAGCAACCAGCTCAATAAGGAAGATCAAGAGGAGCATGGAGAAATACTGCAAGGGGGAAAACAAAAAAGAACCCCGGTTGTATCTGATTAGAAAAACAGGACAACATGGTTTCCAAAAGGAAGTGAAAACTTGTTCCAACAATGTCAGGAACTCTGACATTCTTATGTTTGAGAGATGGTAATTCCCTGAAGTTCTGAAGTAACTTTTCCATGAAGACGCAAGTAGAGAAAGACGGTTCAAGGGTTAGGGGGGTAGCATAGGACCCGGGAGATTTGGGTTCAATTCTGTACTCAGCCACAGACTTCATGTGTGACCTTGGTCTCCCTGTGCCTCAGCTCCTCAGCTGTAAAATGGGGAGAATAGTGCTTCCCTACCTCCTAGGGGTGCTGAGAGCTGCTCAGATACTATGGTAATGGGGGCCACTCAAGCAGGGCCAGCTCCCGGGTTTGGGCCGCCCCAAGCAGCCAAAAAAAAAAAAAAGCCGCGATTGTGATCTGCGGCGGCAATTCAGCGGGAGGTCCTTTGCTCCGAGTGGGAGTGAGGGACCGTCCGCCAAATTGCCGCCGAATAGCTGGACGTGCCGCCCCTCTCCGGAGTGGCCACCCCAAGCACCTGCTTGACAAGCTGGTGCCTGGAGCCGGCCCTGCACTTAAGTAGCTAACACAGATTGGCAGGAACATGCTGAGCAGGAAATGAAGGAGTTAGGAAACAAAGAGAAGATTACCAAAGGAAGAGCAAGTGGGGATGAAAAGAAAAGATGGGAAGGCCGTGCCAATGGGGAGAACAAGGAGCAGGAGGATGCTAATGGGTTCCTTTATCAGAGACACTGGCTTTAACAAACATTTGTCTCCCTTGTAAAGAAATCATGGCTGGGTTGGAGCAATTCAGGTGACTAGTGCATCAAGGATAACATCATAGTTTGGACCCTGCTTCAGCAAAGCACAGAAACATATGCTTACATCCATACTTAGCAAAGCAATTATGCACATACCTAATAGCCAATGTGCTTAAGTGCTTTGCTGAATTGGGGCCTTAAACATTAATGGCTTTTCACACTATGCATGGCCCAAAGCAGATTTTATAAGTTCAAAAGCCTATTTTGCAGCCATTTAGAAACAAAACTATAACAAAACAACAAACAACAACAAAAAACAACAACCTATCAAAGCAAATGCACACTGAGAAATCTGCACATGGAAAACTTCAAGTTCAAGGATTTGGCTGGTTTCATGCTCTCTCTCCTGCACTCTATTCATGGGGGGAGAGGAGGGGAGGTTTTTTTAACAGTGGCAAAACTGCACTTTGTGTCTCACCCTTTCACAAATTAAAAGCAGCGATTTCCAGAAAGATTCATATTGAGGCATCGGCCAACCGTGTGAAATTTCAGCCCCAAAGTTGAAAAAAAAATCACTAAAAATTATGAGCATCTACAAATTGGGATTAGAACGTAAACTGTTTTACAACCTTAATTAATGTAGAATGGTCAACATCTGTGCCCACTGTAAAGAACCCAATTCCGGTCATTTATTGACGTTTAATTTCTCAGTTTATTCCATTGCCTCTTTTTAAACCTGTAAATAATAATCCTGAGATAGGTATTTTCCCATTACCCGGTATAGAATATAGGAATTAGAGGGTCTCAGAACCTGGGCTCCAGCCTGAGCGGGAACACCTACCCTGCTATTTTTAGTTCTGGTGTGAGAGCCCTGCAAGGCCGAGTCCTGTAAGTATCAATGATGCTACTCATAGGCATAAAATTAGGCATGCCGATAAGTGTGTGCAGGATCAGGACCCAAAGTCTCAGCTTTGAGAATCAAGCTGGGTTCTCTCCTTGCACATCAACTGTAATAGGGATTCTGCAGGCCGAAGTATGTGCTCAGAGACACATGGGTAAACATCATTGTCTTCAGTGAGTTTTCAAAAGTGCAACTAATTGGCCCTGTAACTGGAACCTAAAACAGTTTTGTTGATGATTCTCAAGAAGTAATACAATCCAGCTCCCTCTCTGTGAGCTGTGCTGGCTTTGCAGGGCTAACATAATGACCACCTGCTTGGCTCATCAGCAGGCTCTGAACCTGGGATCTTCAGCATGAGGTTCAATTGCTTGAGCTAAAGGAGAAACTCCTCTAGCTGGCAGCCCTAATAGAGTCTTATCCTCTTATGAGGACCAGCCGCTAGGGCAGGGGTACTCAGCAAGTGAATTGCAATCTGGAGTGCCAGATGCTTCTGAACAGACCCCAAAAACTTATTTACTTATTATCATTATTGGGTTTTTAAAATTTTCTCTGGTGTCTGGACCTTTACTATACCTTGACCAAGAAATTTGGACCCTAACAAAAAATAACTGACTTCCTCTGCCCTGGGGGGACAAAAACCACCATTGTACAAGTCAGGGTTACACTGACAAGAGTAAAAAGGAAAAAGAAATAATTTGTCACTAAGTTATGGCTCTGAATATACATAGGCAGCAGATTTACAAAGGGTCGTTTTCAAGGTAGAACCAAAGTACAAAGAATTCATTGCTTTTATACCTTTGGATATTTGTTCTTCAAATTTACCTCCTTGTATACAAGTGTATGTGCTGTTCTATTACCAGCCGCAAGGCTAGATATCCACTTTTCAAAGGATGGTTGTTAGGGTCAAATGAACGTTTGTACCTTACTCTCTACCATACTGGGGTCTTCCCCTCCACCCCTGGGGTATGCATTCTAGCCATGACTCTAATATGGCATCCTTAGGAGTATTATTATTCGTTTTAGGTTGTTGCTAACAAGGTGACCTCCTGTGTTTTTCTTGCATATCTCCCATTCAAGTATTGACCAAACACAACTCTGATTAACATACAAGGAGGGAAAAAGAGCTCAACCAGAAACGTGACCACGGCAGACTAAGGCAAACCTGACTGTATGACTGCCATCAGTGGCAGACTTGGCAACAGGGGGAACTTGTGTAAATTGACTTCAGTGGAGCTATGCTGAGTCATACCATCAAAGCATCTGGCCCTCCAACTGCAATTAAAGAGACCTAGGCCCTGATTTTCCCTCTTACTCTGGTGTAACTCCATTGACTACAGTGGAGATCATTCTGATTTACTCTAGTGTAAAATGGAGAATGGAGACTTTGTTTTCAAAACATCACCCAGTTCATTCCTATTGTCACCTTCTTCACTTGCAGAGGACTGAGATGAGCAAAATTGGATACACTTTGCTCTTAATGACACTATGTGAAAGGAACCCCCTGCAGTTTTTTTCACAGCTATTGAAAGAACTCTCAGAGCCATATCAATATCAGCATTTTACCAGCATTCTTTTTCTTAGTACATAGAATCCCAAACCCCAAACAAAGAAAACCCTCAGCTTGATTCTCCTCACCTGTACGCTGGTGTAAACCAGGAGTAACTCTGTTGAAGTCAATAGAGCAATATCAGTGTAAACTCAGAATCAGGCAATCTAAATGCTCACCCATTATTAACGGAATGCTACAGTACACAAAGCACCATTGAAACTGTCTTATAGAATAGTATCTATAGGAGGTCCATACCCATGGTATGACATTATGCATATTCAAAATTCTGGTTAAATGTAAATACTGTATATACACTTAAATTGATTATATTAGTGCTTTCTAGAACATAAAAGGACCAGTACTACATTATAAACCCATGGAGAGAAAATTTTCATTTTACAGTAAATAATACTCCTGTATGTTTATAGAGCACCTGTCAACCAGAGCCCAGAGTGCTTTACCAGCTACCTACCACTGAAACATACATGCTTCTGGGGAGAAACACAGCAGCTGTTTTAACAGAACAAAGCACAGAACGTACACAGAGTCCCAGGGATACCAAGTGAAGTGTACCATATCCAGTTAAAACTGCAGGGACAACCTAAGAAGGCAGAATGTAATTAACAGAACTGAAACAAATCTAAGGTGAGAAGGGTTAACAAATAACCCTACTTACATTAAGGATCCCATTCAGGACCTTGGTTTTATGACTCATTAAGCTCTCTGGAGCAGGGACCATCTCAGCGTTATATGTCTGCATAGAACCTAGCACAATGGGGCCCTGGCCTCTAGGTGGTACCATAATTAAAATTAAATAAATAATAAATAAATATGTTGGCTAGAGAAATGCCAAGGAAACCTGGAACCTTTCAACTGCTTTCTTTTGGAATTGGGTAGCAACAAGAAGGCTAGGGATTCTGTAAGTTTTGGGGTGTCACTCCTGACCGCATCTGTGGAGGTAAGGATGAAAGTGCAGAATCCAACCCCCTAACCCTATGGAAGTATAAGAAGGAAACTCCTCAAGTTAAAACTCATGGAGTTCCTTCTCCCCTTTGTGGATTATTCCAGCACACAATGGACCCCTATAGTAACAAAAGTTAAAATAGTGGAACTAAATATAACCATTGCATTAAAGAGCTGTTCCTCTTTAGAAAGCAAATGGAAAAAGGGCTGGGATGCTTCATTTTAATAGAGCTATTTTACCCTTAAGAATACAAAGCAGCTTGCCAAAATCTGGGAAAATGTTAAAAAATTATTCCTTTCCATTAATTCTTTTTTTTTTTTTTTTTTTTTTTTTTTTTGTAGTTCTGGAGGTGGATCATTATGCTGGTAATTTTACAGTTGATGCATTTGTTACACGGGATTCTAAGAACAGTGATTAGAATGCTTGCCTCATTAACTTGTCACTTCTCCTGCTAATCTCCTCCACACCTGCATGTCTTACATATTGAAAAATAGTAATGTTCCAAGAGTATTGTGAGAAATTAACATCCAATAAAATCTAGGTCAAACGAGAGAATTCAACTTTCAGGCAGGATTTTTTTGAAAATCACAAGCTTACCAAAACCCATCTCGTTTCTGTGGCTCAGTCCGAAATTCATTTCTGATACCACCTGGGACACCAAATACTTATTACATTTTTTTTGAAGGGGAACGTTAACAAAAGGATGGCTTCATTTTGTCAGCACCAATTCATGTGTCACTGAAACAGCATTACAAATACAACTCCAGGGTTCTCCTAAAAGAATATAATTGCTATG